AAAATCGGCTTTTAAGCTAATTGGCATCTGGTCTAAGCCACAAGCAATAAGCTTTGAAGGGGACTGAGCATTTCGCTACGCGTTGTTTACTTTTACGGTGATAAAACACGGTTGTTTTCTCCCCCAAACACCGGGTATTCAACGTACTGTACTTACCAGACCGCACGCAATTTCTAGGCTTTAGCATATCTAGCTTCTGGATATTAAATAATACATAGTTCTGCATATGCATTGCCTGTACAGAAATTTTGCATGCACATAAACGAATATGTGACCAAAGAACATTAGATTTGGAAGCCGCTGTTTTATGCAAAGACCTGGGCCACAAAGTCGCCCCTGCTATCTGTCTGCTGGCATCGACAAAAAAAAAAAACTGAATGTCTCGTGTGAGGATTAGTCTTCTGCTGCCGACAGATCTCGTCTAGTGGTACTACCGCATCCAAGGCCTTGCATGTGGCGGCTGCTCGAGAGAAGCTATATAATGCATTAAGTTGCACATTTGATATCAACTATGGTTTAATTTGTGTAATAAGACTAAACTTGGTGTAATGTTTTATTTATATGTTACCAATTCTCGTTTTTTTGTTGTTTTTGTTTTGCTTTTTTTTTTTTGCATTGCAACGTAGCTTCTTTTTTAAGTTTACTCGCGGGCAGCGTGCTCGCGGTAGTGCGAGTGTTATTGGTTTTCGTGCTTTTGTTATTTATTTTTATTTGACATTGTTTACAGCCCCCTTATGTAATGTCCCTTTTAAACGGCCCTTAAGGATAAATGACGATGAAACGAGTGCAACTAAACAGTTTTTTCGCGTGCATGAAGAACAAAATTGGTGTTTATGCCCTTTTCCGCAACCCACCATTGGATTGAAGTTTTGTTTTGCGCCTACGCATTTTTTTCTCCACCACTTTTCTTCTTCCAGTAACTTTTGGTTCCATAAATGGGCATCGGAACTTGCAAATATCCGAATAGCCGCGCGCGAAGTCCTGCGCGCGCTCTTGCTTATTCCATGTGATACGGATGAGAGCGAGACGGTGGCGCGGTTGCTCCCATTGGAGAGAAATTGCGCTAGTCATCGTCTTTGTCATCTGTTACAAGCGCTTGTACCTCAAGTTTCCGGCATTCCATTCGGAACAGCAAAAAAAAAAGTTTGTCGACGAAACGTTTTACGGTGGTGCTGTCGACGAAACGACTCTTGACGAAACGTCACAGTGTCGACGAAACGTGTGTTTATGAAACGTGTGTCCACGAAAAGTGGTCCACGAAACGTAATTCCACGAAACGAGTTTCGACAAAATAATAGGGACCCATGCTAAACGGAGACAACCGATACCCAGTTACTTCGCGCACTTTACCTCTTACCTTTGTTTTTCCTGGAGTCACAATTCGTTCGTCAACCGCACATCACGGAGGAATGGCAAACCAACCAACAACCCCCCCCCCCCCCCCCCCCCCACACAAAAAAAAAAAGCCGCTTTTGAAACAACGAACTCGAAGCCGCTGTTTATCGCGCAGCGTGAAAGAAGGTTAACCCGCTTGCCACCAGATGGCAAGGTCAACCTCCGGACACAGAGCGAGTTGCGCGGCTCGAACACGGATGGCGCCACCATAGAGGTGTACGACAGCGCTCGCGTGGTCGGAGGCGCTCATTACTAAAAACTAAACAAAACAATAATGAATCAAACCTCATTCAACTTTAGTTATGACTGCATATTATTTTACTAAATACAAATTACGTATTCCTAAAAATATAATATATTTTTTTAAAAGTTCATGTCAACATCTCGCTCTCAAAATTGTGCTTTTTTTCTGTTTTTTTGCGTTTCTAAAACGAAACCGCTGTTTATGCGCATGCGCGCTTGCGCTCTGCGCGTTCTGAAACCAGTGGACCGTTGTGGAGGCGTCCGTGGGTCTGCTCGGTGCTTTCGCGCTTTCGCTCGCCTTCGGAGCGTCAAGCTTCGGCGCCTCGATCATCGCATTGCGCGAGCCTCGCACTATCGGGCAAGTGGAAAGCTTTTCGTGTCTTTGAACCACCTCATTTGTGCGGTTACGCAAAGTCGTGCCCAAGCAGCGTCGGGGACAAGAAGCACCCGTTCGTTTGGATCCCAACTGACGACGGTGAGTTTGAAAGTTTTCACCCCAATTGAAACTTTTCCTAAGCTGATCTTCCAGCCACAAATTGCACCATTGGAGGGTTTTGTACTCTTTTAGGTAATTGAATATATCGTTTCATTTTTGAAATTTACAAAATGTCACCGTGATTTCATTCCGATCTACCCATTTCGGCGAGCGTTCTTAGCACGGTTTTGTGGATGAAGACCGTCCTGCAAATATTTTACGATCTGTAGACTGTTGGCGAAATATCACCTCCTCTACCTCTCGTCGATCTCGTTCACAGCAGTGTCGATACCCCGTCGAGTAAATTGAAGTCTCTATATAAATATTCTTCGCCCAGTTTTATAATATTTCGGAGTTCACATCCTCCAATATCTGCCCGTTTTTATTAATGTATCTCGTGTAGATTCTTTTACAGCCCTGCGACTCGTTTTTTCACGTTTTATTTCTTTCAAAAATAAATAGAAAGCTGGATAGTAAAATAATTTTAAAGACACTTTTAAAATTTTGAAAGATTTACGCATAGAAAGGCGGAATGCAGACAGCAGAGCTTGATCGCGAGATGTGCTATCCGTCCTTCCATTTGCAATTCTTTTAAAAGTTTTTACACCTCCCAACGCACTCCCCTCAAAATTAAAATTCGCGTTAGGCATTTTTTTTTTTCGTTTGTTGCAGATAAAATAGCATCATTTACATTTTTTTTTTCTTTTTGTGTATTCATACAGATTCTCAAGGCATGAAAATCACTCCAACAAGCCTCAGGGACAGGGAACCCAATAAACAAAAGGTATGTCCGTGGTAACTTTTTTATGAAGTGCACTTGATTGTTTGCCAACCTATCAAGCTTCCTGAATATGTAACCCTCAGCATGCTTGGTTCCGCCGTAGTGATCTATGCAGTCTAATCTACGATCAACTGTACTGTAAAACGAGAGTGGCTGGGGCAAAGAGAATTACAACAAAAACAAAAGGATAGTAGGAGCAGCCCTCTGCAATATTTCATAGCCCTGTTTCTCTTCTGCAAGTGTATGTGTTGTGACGAGACAAATTAATGTGTTCTTACATTGTCCTGTGCAGATCCTGGGAGGATAGAGAACACACATACAGCAAAAATTAGAAAGAGCAATGAAGTGGCTGGCCCATCCCATGGGCATCATAGGATCTCGGTGGCCCACACCAAGAAAACCTGGTTCAACTTGTGGTTCAACTTGACGGTGCAAGCGACAGGTATCGGAAGCTCATCAAGAGGCCAAGAGAAATGAGAAATACCAAAGTGGTCTACAGAGAGCTAGGTCTACACATTATTAAGTCTCTAAAGATTTTGGTTCAAGTCTGTAAGTAAGCAACAAATAAGTTTGCCCGAATTACAATTCATTGTGTTAACTGTTTATTTGCATGGACCAGTCAGAATGACACGAGCTTTCAACTAGGCATGAAATCTTTTGGCTGTGCTTCTTAAGACCCTCGAGAGGCAATGTTGTCCACTGCGTCAGCAGGTTGCTCTTTGCACGATTTTTATGGAGCGAGATCATAGACTAACAGAAGCCTCTGAGCATCCACTTTGTTTAGAC